ACTCTGCATTTTGTCAGCGTCTTCGCCAAATAGAACTATGTCATCGGCATATTCTAGGTCAACAACAAGTGAACCTCTTTGCAGAAGTTCAACCTCTGAAAATTTAGATGAGGAAAGTGTTATCTCTAAAAGCATGTCTAGGATAGAGTTAAACAAGAATGAAGAGAGTGGACAGCCCTGACGAACACTACTTGAGGTAATCAATTCTGATGACAGTTCGCCATAAGCTCTCACTCGATCAGTTATGTTCGAGTAGAGTGCCTTTACAAAGTTAATGTGCTTCTTTGGTACTCCTTTCAATGATAAACATTGCCATAGAAGCTCACGATCAACAGAGTCAAATACTCCCTTAAAGTCGAGAAATAGATTGGCATTACTATTTATAAATAAATTAGAAAACAGATGAACTACTAAAGAATTCCTATGAGAAGCGAAACACCAGTTCAGTGTCATTCGATTTTCAGTAGATCTTGATCTAATTATAAATCATGATTAGGGATGTTTTTGGATTTCATAAGAGCATTATACATCACAAAAGTGAGCTTCCAGATTTATAAATTATCCATACAAAAGTGGCTTAGATAGATGTTACATGGAAATCAATCAAATATTTGGAGAACAACTCCTAATTGTAAGTATAATTGCACAATATAATATGTTCTAACTGTTCAAGGTGGGATAAAAGTGGTGTTTTAGAGTTTTTCCGTCTCTCAGTGGTACTAGTGTATTTTTCAATACATCAGGAAAATTTCCTAAAAATACAACCACTTAAGAAAAGCAATTAAACGTACATATTAGATGTCAGATTATTGAGTATTTACATATTGTAGTTTACCGTTTCCTGGGTTTTTTGGCGTTCAAAATGCCTAAATATGATCTTCCTGCTTTTATATTTATTGATTTGTTAAATATTTATCATATATCTTCTAATTATATGTTACATGCTTCATTTTATTGTGTAACTCTAACTTATGTAACTATGTATCCACTAACATTTTCACGTTATCGAACAAAACCCCGATAACTGCCTGCTCCACAACATTATCCTCATGTATTACATGAAAACTAAATGCTTAAGTAGCATCATTTTGTGTCCAGTGATTATGATTTACACCGGAAATAAATCTCCATGGTCTAATGCTCCCAAATGCTTTGGTACGATAGAGGGTGGAGAGAGTCACCTCGCCCTCTAGAAATGCTCTCACATGGCCACGTTTATACACTCTCTGTCAGGGAAGTGTTACTCACTTCCTTCGCGTAGCAGGGTTGGTGGAGATAGAGAGTACACCTAGGGGAATTGGAAAAGCCTGGTTCCAAATCAGTGGTTCTTATGGACTCCATGATCCTAAGGGAACGAATAACGTATGAATTTATTGTTGGTCACAGGCAACCATGGGATAGAATCTCCTAACATTGATCCACTGCCTTGTGGGTTGAACCTCGGGTTGTGGTCCACTAAGAAAACCACTTACTACGGTTTTGGCACCTATGCAATATTTCAGACCCTGACATAAATCAAATAACAAAGTGTAGCATATACATATTTGGTGCTTTATCGCAAAACATTTAGTCAATATAAATTTATAAATTATTTTATGCATTGACATGTTATTGAAAAATAAAACGTTTACTTGCATGCTAATGTATTATAATTAGGCACAAAAAAACAAAAAAAATGAACATAAAAGTCGTATTTTTATTTTAACAAAATTTCGTTTCAAACTTAATAAGGTTTCATGAATCTTTGCATTTTCAGAAAGAATTAATTTGTTTCATTGATAAAACAAATTCATCACGTTACGTAATAAACGAAAGGAAACAATCCAGGGATATGCAAATAATTTGTTTCAAAGACTGAAATCATGAGTCAATTGAAGCTAGACCACAATGGAAAACCTAGAAGCACTGGACGGCCGTTTCGTCCTAGTGCGGGACTCCTCAGCAGTGCGCATCCACGGTTCCGCGTCCCGCGAGATTGGAACCCAAGATCTATCAGTCTCGCGCCAGGCGCCTAACCAACTAGACCACTGAGCTGGCTGGCATCCAACTGTGTTAATGTTTAACTTCAACCAATCCACGAAGTTGCGCCACCGTATACCATTGTCTTCAGTGAGCTGATATCTCACAACAGACCTGGTTGAACTCCACAGGTAACGGCTTCTCACTAGAACTCCAGGAGTATCTCTTGAAAATAATCTTCTGAGAATAATTTGTTGCTTATACAAAGATGTATGTAAATGTTATGTCAAATAAAACAATGGACAACAAGTTAAACTATTTCTAGTGTATATCTAGATAATGAATCAAATAAATTGATGATATAAAACTTTTGAGGTAAAGATATTCTGACTTCTTAAAAAACATTTATAAAGTGATTGTGAATAAAGATAAACAATGGTTATTCATAAATATACTATGATTTGTGAATTGATATTTGCTTAAGATTAAGATCTATGAATGACCTTTGAATAATGCTAGAATGATCATAGAATGTTCACCTACTTATCAAAGTTAAATGTGGGTTATATTATACGTTGTTAAGGATTAAAATTAAAATTTACAATTGACTATTAAGGTTAGGAATGAATGAATTTCGCGCCAAAATCTAAGGTCGTCTATCTTAAGTATGATTGGCTCATCTATAAATTGTTGTCTCACCGAAAACTTTCTTTTATTAGATTATTTTATAGATAGATAATATATTATGGAAATGAAAAAGTTTAAATGGGTTTATTCTCATACAAAAGTAACTCTGTTTGAATATAACAAACATTAATGATAAATAGTTTGAAACCATTATCATTTATTGAGAACTTTTGTTTAAATTTGATCGAATAATTTCACAGTATTTGATCTCCAAGTTAATGTAAGACATTAATGAAGAAGAATGTGTTTATAAAATCTCAGCGAAAGAATTTGAAGTAAATCCAACGTTCTGCCTGGCTATCTGGTCCAATTTTTTTCAAGGATATAAAATATATGAAATTTTGAATACGCCGAATATATTCAAGAAGAAAATATTAAATTTCAATGGTTGAGATCATAAGTAAATTGAAACTAGACCACTATTAAGAACTTGGAAGCAGTGGACGGCCGTTTCGTTCTGTTGTGGGACTCCTCAACAGTGCTCTCATGATCTCAACCATTGAACTTACTATAATATCTACAAAATCCCTTTTGATATGAATAAAATATTATTCATTTAAAAAAAACACATTTTACAAACATCTGATATGTTTACATTATGGTTTTAGTTAGCTTTATTCATTGATTACTACTATGGAAATTAATTCAGTGAGACTATAATTTATGGTCGATATTTAGGCGACACTGAAGTGACTTTGACAATGTTCACCTACTGATTAGGACTACATGAAGGTTATAAACCAGTTAGAATTATGATTTACAGTTGATAGTTAGGGTTAAAAATTAGATTTAGAGTTTTCATCACGAACTGACATTAGCTATAATGCCAAAACTTTATTTAGCCAGATGGATGAAGAATTTCACACTGAAATTCATTATCCATTATCTAATATCTAATATCGTCCATAAATTATAGTTTCGCCACTTATTCATAGAGGTAACCTTAAAATTTAGACTTTTATGGTAATTTGAATGTTGATTATTACATAATTTTTAAAGTACTACATGATTTAAAATGAACAAAACTTGTTAAGTTCATTAGATAAAGAATTCAATTTACTTCGTTACTATATTCTTACTTATATGAAGTCACTCATCTTCTAAATAAAACGGTTTTAGTGCAAACAGAGACTCATCAAGTTTAATGATTTGATCATAAATTAGTGGACACAATTATTCAACAATGTTTATTTATCTCTCCATTTCACTTCATAAAGAAGACATTTAATGAATTGAATATAAATGTGGAAATTTTTTATAGTTACCATCTTTACAACTAAGCTTGTTTACGGTTAATTTTGTCAAGCCCTTTAATTAAGTTATTTAGCAGACAATGTTATTCAAACAGTTACAAATTATCTGTTTCTTTCTACTATTATTATTGCTATCATGACTATATGAACATGTATACTTGATCATATGTAACAGACTATTTACGTATCTCTCTCTAGCTTAAATGTTAGTTGCTCAAATATCTAACGGTGAATCATTCGCTTTCTCATATATATGTGCTTGAATAATATTAATAGCTTCGATTTAATTCCATTTGATTAAACTCTGAATTCGTTTTTGTATTCGCTTGCTTGCTCACATTAGCTTTTCTGCTCGAATTCGCTTGATATTCTTGTAAATTTGTTATCTGTGCTATCGAGAAATAAACTGTAGTCAACACTTCCTGTTGCCTTCTGAATTTCTAAACCGTTGAGATTTACTTTATAACGGTTATCAGAATGATTGATAAACAAAGCTTAAGGAATTATATTGAAGTCAAGCCACATTACAAATTGTCCCAACTTATAGTCTTAACACTCTTTTCGTTTTCTAGTTCTAAAATTTAGTTAATCAATCTTAACATAGTTGTTATTCAAGCAGATACTCTAGTAAACATTCTGGTTATCCATCTTTGATAATGATTAGTATTAGTATCTATGGTTTACATTATTGTCTTATTTGAATCGAGTCAATTAGATATGTTATTTACACTAGGAACAATAATTCATAAGATCCAAGTACTTGGAATCCTGAATTGAAGCAGAAAAGTGGTAGGCCAAAGAACACATTATGTCGGGAAATAGAAGCAGATATGAAAAGGATGAATAACAACTGGAAAGAGCTGGAAAGTATTGCCCACGACACAGGTTGGATGGAGAATGCTGGTGAACGACCTATGCTCCTTCACGAAGAGTAACAAGAGTAAGTAAGTAATTAATTAAGTAAGTAAGTACATTCATCTGATAATTCTCAACTTTCGTTAATCATTTCTGATGTGAGATGTCAATTATGAATCAATAAAAATAAAAGTATATTCTCATCATTTAACATTTTATCATCATGTTTATAAACATAAAACTTACCTGATTGTCTGAATGAATTTGACTACATAAAATTCCAATATAAAAGAATTTATAAAGTAATATAATTAAAAAATAACTTGGATTCATTGTCAATGATTGTCAATTAATTTCATCATTGCAAATCTATGTATATCTATGTGTATCTAAGTGTAGATAAAAGTGTATTCTGTCTGTTTGTTTGTTTATTTTTATTTTCTTCATTAAAGAAAACCTCTGAACATTTTGTAAATGATCAGTTTTATATTCAAATAATGAGTTTGTTTAAATGCACTTCATCATTTTGTCTAAACAATTGAATAAATGAACTGGATAAGTTAAAACTTTAATTATTATATAGAATGTCTCATATATATAGAGAGAGATATATATCAATATGCTAATGAATGATTTCAATGTTTTGAAAATAAAAACTGTGTATTTATATAACGATTTTGATCATAAACTCTAAAAACAATAATGGTGCTAGCTGAATAACTATAAAAGTTCGTTGGTCTAGTAACGTATGCTAATGTACTATTTCGTATGTGTACGTATATATATATATATATATATATATATATTGTGTGTGTGTAGATTGTATCTAATTTGATTGATTACTAGTGTTAACAATTAATTGATTTGAAATATGTGCAAACTTCCAGTCGCTACTAACTTTGTGTTACATTGAAATCGCCAGTACAATAAACATTTAATCAGAATAGTAACAATAAACTATCATACCCGTTAAAATAATAACAAACATAATTATGATAAACAAAATTCATTTATTTTAGTATAATTTATACATGTGATTAGACTGAGTACCAAACAAATGAAATGTGATTATTTTCTAAATGAGTGCTTGGTGACCTTGGGTTGAAGGTCACACATATCTTTATTGATTGGTTGTGAGTTCAAAGAATTGGTTTATAGGCAGACTGAAAGAGTTTATATTTATATTTTAATAGTCAAATTCGTGAGTCAATTAAAGATAAGAGTTCCATACTGAGACGAAACAGCTTCCCAGTGCTTCTAGGTTTCCCAAGGTGGTCTAGCTTCAAATGACCGATGGATTTAACTATTAAATCACTATAATATCCACTAAACCCCTCTCTGATTATATTTATATCTTAATAAATGGATATATAAATCCATACAGTGATGAAGTTAGTAAGAATTTCACAAATAAATATATCATTTGTTCAATACAAAAAGTTGTGTAGTATGGGACTATTCAACCGCGTCACTTCGTTTCTTCGTCGTTGTCACTATACTTACTGGCATTCGAATCGAAAAAGATTCATTTTCTTTTTGCCTAAAAGTCTCTACCATTAGAATGAGGGGCTACCACTAAAATTAAATCAAACATATCTGTTGCCATTAATCAGTAATTGTTTACAATATTCCTTCAACAAATTTGTAAATCAAAGTTTCTCAATTACAGTACTTTAATTTCTGCTCATATGATAGCTCCTAGTAAAGAGATATACTTTACTACACTGCATTGTGCTGACGCAATGATTTTGATATAATTAACAGGAGGCAGTGTCCTGTACAAATCAGGTTTATTTTTAATCAAGCGTCTCTAGTAAAACAGCTGCCAATACTCACGCTTATGTGTTGGTGTGAATATAATTAAACTGATCTGCCGTATTAACAATAATAATATATTCTAAAAATAAGTACAGAATGAATATTAGTTTACAGCACTGAGTCATGTAGATACTGGTTAACAGACAATATTATCGAAATAAGTGTACACTTTTCAAGAAGACATGAGTTCTAGGTTACTTTGAACTTAATATTTAATAATAATATGAAATATCAAAGATATACAGGATCCGAGAGTATTCATAACGCTTTCAATTTCCTGATGAAAAATATGTAACCACAAAGCCATGACATTGATCTTATAGACCAATTAGGATGGTATATTATATTCATAATCCTAGTGGATTTTTACAGTCTGGGTAACCATAGGAAGCTGTTACATCTCCGAAATAATATCAATATCTATAACATGTGATCTCAAATCGAAATGTAATAACTACAAGTGAACTCCGTTCAGTTTTCTACTGAGTAATCAACAATTCAGGAAGTTTATATAGATGAAGGCACATCCAGTTGATGAGTCTTAAATAGGACGAAACGCGCATCCTGGATTTTACTGCTAGCCACTAATCATCTTTGCTTAAAACGTTAAATCGTTTTAAAAAATGAAAAAAGAAAATGCACATTAGGAAATGTGAATAAACTTGATGCTGAAATTCTATTATTTATTCATTTAAATGATCGAAATTTAATGTGAAATTTGAAAGGTTGTGACAAGGTTCAATGAACAATGTTCAAAAAGAGAAAAAAATGATACCCAATGGCAATTATAAAGGTTATTTGAATGGAAATCATTACTTCATTTTTTAACTGTACCTAGTTTGAACGACAAAAAACACACATTATATGAACAAATTAGGTGGCCTTAACAAGTAAGTCAATTCAATAATAGTTCTTATTAATTAATAAATACATTTGACAGTTATAAATTGTATGATAGATCATTAAAAACAATAATGAATTTATCAAACAATCACTGGGTTATCATCGATTCGTACACACACTATCAAGTTGTAATTAATTTATAATATTGTAATGATACTATTATTCGCATTATCAACTGTTTATTATTTTGTAAACTAACTGTACATCAAACATTAATTACTGACTTATAAATCACTGTGTCCTAAATTGTAAATGGAACCGAATTTCCAATTTATGGATATTATAAACTAAAATGATAAATTAATAGTAGAGTTCATGAGTTAATTGGAGCTAAACCACTATAGGAAGCCTGGAAGCAATGGATGGCCGTTTCGTGCTAATATGAGACTCTTCAGAAGTGCATATCCACGATCTCGCTCCATGAGATTCAAACCTAGGAGCTGACAGTTTCACGTGTGAACGCTTAACCCCTAGTCTTGGGTTCGAATATATTAAAAAAATAAATATCTAGTTATTCAGAAATTTGAAGGCGCGGATCTGCAAAGCAAGAGCAGTACATCTACAACTGAAGAACATCTGGAACTCAAAACAATTGTCAACAAACACCAAGGTCAGGATTTTCAATACAAATGTCAAGACAGTTCTATTGTATGGGACAGAAACCTAGAGAACTACGAAAGCCATCATCCAAAAGATACAAGTGTTTATTAACAGTTGTCTACGCAAAATACGTCGGATCCATTGGTGAGACACTATTAGCAACAACCAACTGTGGGAAAGAACAAACCAGATCCTAGCGGAGGAAGAAATCAGGAAGAAGTGCTGGAAGTGGATAGGACACATATTGAGGAAGTCACCCAACTGTGTCAAAAGGCAAACCCTCACATGGAATCTCTAAGGCCAAAGGAAAAGAGGAAGACCAAAGAACACATTACGTCGAGAAATGGAGATAGACATGAGAAGAATGAACAAAAATTGGACAGAACTGGGAAGGAAGTCCCAGGACAGAGTGGGTTGTAGAATGCTGGTCGGCGGCCTTTATTCCATTAGGAGTAACAGGCGTAAGTAAGTAAGTAAGTTATTCAAAAAGGATATCAGTACAGATTATTTTTATCCATCTTTCATAATTCAACAGTTCATATCATTAGATTTAGTTATCAATCCATACATGATAAACGTAGGAAATGTTTTTTCTTTTAACTGAATATCTACACAAATATTAGATTTTTTTATTTTACTTACGGATTTGAAACAAGATAAATTCTGTTTACAATGTTTAAGATGATAGAACGTATTTTCATCAAAGAACTAAATTAATCCATAAACTGTATCATCCTCTTATAAAGTGACTCACATACATTGACAATTCATTCAGAATTCAACATGTAATCCCATTCATTATAGAATAGAGTTAATATCTATTAAGAAGGAACATTGTTCATTAGTATACTATAATTATATTTTATAAAGTTTCCATTTAAGATGCACGATATTAATACCCATTTGATAAGCATTATTCATTGAACTAATGAATAATGTCAGTTATTAATTATTTGCAAGAGATTAGTTTTCAATAGTGTTAATTAATCTCACTTTTATTTGCTTTATTTCAAATTAATAGCTAATAATACAAAGTAATCTCTTGACATTGATACAACTAGTCAATATAGTTAACATATTTTTAATATACATTTCATTTACCTTATTTATTCCACTGAGCCGGCACCAAACGGTGTTAATGTCTAACTTCAACCAATCCACGAAGTTGTGCCACCATACACCATTGTCTTCAGTGAGCTGATATCACACAACAGACCTGGTTGAACTCCACAGGTAACGACTTCTCATTAGAACTCTAAGAGTATCTCCTGAAGTCAGTCACTAGTGAGTAGTTGATTATTATCAGAATGAGTTTTGTGGAGATTTTTCGAAAAATTCCACAGGTTGAAATCATGAGTCAATTGAAGCTAGACCACCATGTAAAACCTGGAAGCACTGGACGGTCGTTTCGTCTTAGTATGGGACTCCTCAGCAGTGCGCATCCACGATCCTGCACCCCGCGAGATTCGAACCCGGGACCTACTGGTTTCGCACGCAAGCACTTAACCATTAGACCACTGAGCCGGCATCCAACAGTGTTAATGTCTAACTTAGTTATCAATCCATACATAGTAAAAATAGGAAATGTTTTTTCTTTTAACTGAATATCTACACAAATATTAGATTTTTTTATTTTACTTACGGATTTGAAACAAGATAAATTCTGTTTACAATGTTTAAGATGATAGAACGTATTTTCATCAAAGAACTAAATTAATCCATAAACTGTATCATCCTCTTATAAAGTGACTCACATACATTGACAATTCATTCAGAATTCAACATGTAATCCCATTCATTATAGAATAGAGTTAATATCTATTAAGAAGGAACATTGTTCATTAGTATACTATAATTATATTTTATAAAGTTTCCATTTAAGATGCACGATATTAATACCCATTTGATAAGCATTATTCATTGAACTAATGAATAATGTCAGTTATTAATTATTTGCAAGAGATTAGTTTTCAATAGTGTTAATTAATCTCACTTTTATTTGCTTTATTTCAAATTAATAGCTAATAATACAAAGTAATCTCTTGACATTGATACAACTAGTCAATATAGTTAACATATTTTTAATATACATTTCATTTACCTTATTTATTCCACTGAGCCGGCACCAAACGGTGTTAATGTCTAACTTCAACCAATCCACGAAGTTGTGCCACCATACACCATTGTCTTCAGTGAGCTGATATCACACAACAGACCTGGTTGAACTCCACAGGTAACGACTTCTCATTAGAACTCTAAGAGTATCTCCTGAAGTCAGTCACTAGTGAGTAGTTGATTATTATCAGAATGAGTTTTGTG